CCAGGGGTCACACCCTGGACCTGGTTCTCTCTTATGGTCTACCCATCATGAACCTTGTGACTTTGCCTCCTGTGTTCTCTGACCACTCTCCAATACTCTGTGATGTTACGTTGCCATGTCCTGTCCCTGTGTGTGAAGCTCCAGCTACTAGGTTCAGAGCCCTGGATGCAGAAACTATTTCAAAGTTTGTGGACTGTATGTCTGTAAGGTTAGAGACCTTTAACCCTGATCCATCTACCATTGATCACTATTCACAACACTTTGATGTACTTTGTAATCAGGTCCTGGACGTGGTTGCCCCTCTCAAGCTTTGCAAGTCTCGGCCTAGGAGGGAGCCTTGGCTCTCTGATGTCACACGGGCTTGTAGGCGGGCGTGTAGATCCTCTGAGAGAAAGTGGAAAAAGGATGGCCTACAGGTCTCACGTGAGTTGTTCAGAGCATCTCTGGTTGCTTATCAGGATGCAGTGAGGGCCGCCAGAATTGCCTATTTTGCAGACATCATTGAGACTAACTCCAATAATCCTAAGATTCTCTTCAAAACGCTAAACTCAGTTCTGGTGTATCAGGAGCCTAACTCCATGTCTCCTACAGCTGCTGGAAACTCTGAAGCGTTTCACAAATTCTTTGTTGATAAAGTATCAGGCATTAGAGCAGCTATTTCTGGTAACTCTATTGACCCTGTTCCAGTTCATCCATTACCACCCACCCTGAGCTCCCTCAATACTGTTTCATACTCTGAGCTGAATAAGCTAGTTGCGAGGCAGAAGTCATCTGGCTCTCCACTTGATGTTCTACCGCCTCGTCTCTGGAAGGCTGCCTTTCCGTGCCTTGGCCCTTCACTTGGTCAGATTATCAATGGGAGCCTCAGCACAGGTATGGTCCCAGCTGCTTTGAAAGCAGCAGTTATTCGGCCGACCCTGAAGAAACCTGGTGCTGATGTCTCTGTGATCGAAAATTACAGGCCTATCTCTACCCTACCCTTTACATCTAAACTGCTTGAGAAAGTCGTTTATCAGCAGCTGGTCTCACATTTAGCTGACTCTGATCTGTTTGAGGTTTTCCAATCAGGGTTCAGGTCTGGCCATAGCACAGAGTCTGCTCTACTGAGGGTCCTAAATGACATCTATCTATCACTAGATCATGGAACATCTGTGCTGCTTCTGTTATTAGACCTGACAGCAGCCTTCGACACAGTTGACCACGCGATTCTACTTGATCGCTTGGAACGATGGGTTGGGATCAAAGGGTCAGCTCTGGACTGGTTTAGATCGTATCTCCAAAACAGGACATTCTGTGTTAAACTGGGTGATGTTTTTTCTTCTTGGGAGGGGCTCCGGTGGGGGGTCCCGCAGGGGTCGATCCTTGGTCCACTTTTGTTTGCCATTTATCTGCTACCTCTGGGGTCAATCTTTCGTAAACATGGCCTATCATTCCATCTGTATGCTGACGATTGCCAGATTTACTCTCCATTGTGTCAGGAGAAAGGTCACTCTATTCAGTCCTTTGTCTCCTGTGTTAATGAGGTGAAGTCTTGGCTAATGTCCAACTATCTACATCTGAATGAGGGAAAGACAGAGCTCATTGTTTTTCACCCCAACAGCAGGAATGTGGATCGTTATGCTGATCTTGGCCCTCTTTCTCCATACTCAAAACCAGTTGTTACCAGTTTGGGGGTGAAACTTGATGTAGGACTTAAATTTGATGCTCACATCAATTCTGTGATCCAGTCCAGTTTCTTTCACCTGAGACGCCTTGCTAAAATCAAGCATATGCTGTCGAGAGCCCACCTGGAGCAGGTACTGCATGCCTTTGTAATTTCTCGGCTTGACTACTGCAACTCTCTCTACGCAGGGTTGTGTCAGTCAACATTGCGTCGCCTACAGGTTGTGCAGAACAGCGCTGCCAGGTTCCTGACTGGGACCAGGAAACGGGACCACATCAGTCCAGTTCTGGCCTCCCTGCACTGGCTTCCGATTTCCTATTGCTCACAATTCAAAATCCTCGTCTTTGTTTATCATTTCTTCCAGGGTGGTGCTCCCCCCTATCTGGCCACACTCCTGAACAAACATTCCCCATCACGTGCTCTGCGCTCCTCTGACCAAGGCCTGCTCGCTGTCCCTCGGTCTAGGTGTCGTACCCGTGGGGACCGGGCTTTCTCAGTCCTAGCGCCGTTACTCTGGAACCAGTTGCCACCCTCAGTTAGGCTGTCCCCTTCTCTGCCAGTCTTTAAGAATCACCTAAAAACACACCTCCTCTGCTTGGCGTTTCCAGAACATGTTGATTATGGCCCTCTATTATGTTGAATCCATTCCACAGTTTTCATTGGTACACTCAATCCATCCACTCAATCCAATTGTGTTTCACACATTTGTATTTTACCGGAATGTTTCATCTATCTTATTATTTCCATTTTGTATTTTGTAATTTGTATTTTGTAATTTGAATTTCTTTTATTGTTGATTTATTCAGTATAATTAGTTACAACTGTACCATGTTCAGCGCTTTGGGCTTCCTGACAGGGTTGCGGAAGGCGCTTTATAAATAAAGCTTTGATTTGATTTGATTTGAAACAGCTAATACACACACACACACACACACACACACACACACACACACACACACAGACACACAACTCCATCACGAGAAAGTCAGGTGGTATGAACTATTGTCCTAGTCTGCGAGTCCATCGCTTTATATCACTTTTAAACCATTCAGCTAGTTGCTAGCGGTTAACAATTTAGTTGTACTCACCACTCTGGCCTATGCATGGTGGTTTTAACATTGGAATGGTGCCATGTAATCCATCTGAAAATCACTCCGGCACTGGCAGCAGTTTAACAAGCAGTCTGTGAATTCACTGTCACATTCTGGTTTAGTTTGTGAGAGCTCCTGAAGATAAAATCCAACCATTTTTGCAGACTGAACAGAGATATGTAAGTATCACAGACATTTTTGAATTCTAGGCATATTTTAAAGAGTACACTTGATAAGACAACTTCTTCACAACTGTGAGATTAAACTCCCTGCTAGCTACATGGACAGACTGGGCATTAGTGTGTACAGTCCAGAGGAGAAGGGGGAGGACTGGGGCATGATGATGCAAGGCCGGCCAATTGCATCCAGGCTTTTGCAGGAGCATAGCAGAGTTGAAGGGAAGAAGCAGCTGTGACAGGAAAATGGTAAATGGTAAAAATGGTAAATGGCCTGTATTTGTATAACGCCTTCATAGGGTTCAACAAACCCCCAAGGTGCTTCACAACACAGTTATCTACCCATTCACACACACAGTTTTTGCATAAAGCCAAAAACTGCTTTTGTTTTTCATGAGGAAATAAAAAAGTACGATGGTCAGCATGTCCAAAAAGTAGATTTTACATAATGCAGTCCTGTTAAGAAAAAGTTGTCAGAAGCAGAAAAAAAAAACATCATTTCAGGAGCATCATCCTGCTTTACTAGTTTAATGTGAATAAAATATATACCTGTTTCATATTAATGACAAATGAGTGAAATTTGAATTATGATAGAAATGTGTTTGAGTCAGGTTGAACACCAACAAAGAGAAACCTCGGACTAATCCTGCTGATGATTTCAACATGTGAAGAAACGGGAGCGTGCTGATTTCTCTTTGACTTTGTCAACATTTAGAGCAGGATGATGGAGAAACACCACCTCCGTAGCGTAACGTCATAAAGTCAACAGTTTCTGAAAGACCTTGATGTTCAAAAAACAAAATGTTAACAAGTAGTGTGTGATTCCATTCATTACTTGTTTCTTACACGTTTTGCATAATGCTTCCCAACACACAACAGCTTTTTCCTGCAAGTCTGCTCGTCGTTTTAAGCTTTGCACTGCTTCTCTCACTTTCTTGTGCTACGAGTAGTAATTTTCTCAATTGACTATCTTCCAGCTTCCCATTACCCGTCTTTAGGGGGGAAACATTCTTGGTTCCCCTTTTTTCGACCGCTAAATGACCCGTTTTAAGCCTCCATGTCCATTATCAATGATTGGCCTTATTCTTCCCGTTTCTTATGTCTGTGTACATCCTGCTGATTGTCATCCAATATACTCCTCTCACTTTTCATATTAACCTCAACTCTTCTTACTTCCAAAAATGGTTTCTGTTTTTCGTCCTCGGTGTAGTCTCATTTGCTTCCCTTTCATCATCTCAGGCAAGGTTATCCTGGGGCGAGCAGAGCTTTTATGGGAACAAAGGGGGTGGAGGTGATGGGGTAGAGGGCCCGGCTTCGCCGCTGGCGATGCCTTAATCGATTGCATTTAAAGGGATGTTGTGAGCTGAATGTTTGAAACCATTCCCAAGCTAACGGTGGTCTGGGATTTAATTAAGAAGCAAAATAAATGTATTGTCAACTGCATTCTAAAAAGACAGCGGGATAGGAAGTTTCACAACAAAGACAATGTGAGCAGGAGAGTTGGGGGGAGGAGGGTAATTAGCATCACTCCAGTCTGAGCATTTCCTTTCCAACTCCATTTTTCTGCAGTCACCTCGTTACTTTCCTGCATATCTGCAAGAGCCGTGAGCAACGTTTCTGTCACATCTTTTCCTTGCCGCCGGCACACGTTGTGGGTATGTAAATACAAGAAAACAGAGTGTTGTTTACATGCTCTACCTGCACAGGAAGTACAACCAGATAAGACTAGAGCCTGTAGTATAAGTGGCTTAAGTACCTCTGTGTACTTTATTGATTTTTACTGTTGAAATCCACAATAAATGCCATCATATCATCCGTACAGTTTATCATCCACATGACAGAGAAACAAAACTGTGATTATTAAAAAGGTAAAACAGACAACCTTCACTTCATGACCCACATGGAAATACAACTTTATTCAGATCTGAAGTTTGTCATGTATATATATATATTTATATATGTATATTCATATTTGAAACAGTCTGATTTTGTAGCTATTCTTTTCTGGGTGCTGTCCTGCAGTCTGTAAGGCCGAATATGCACGTCTGTTGGCACCAGATGGCACCACTTTCTGTCCCACAGCAACATTACTGTCTGTTAAACGTAGTCCAGCAGCGCTCTTGCTGCATGCCGGCGAGGCAAAGAGGGCGGAGCCTCCGTGAGAGTATTGCTGTATACTTGAGAGGATCAGTGATGAGCAGAGGATGACGCTTCTGTTCTGAGAGCGGTCCAACATGTGTCCTTGGTTTTTTTCTACACTGTTAGAGGGTTGTTTCCCAGCTTTGATTCCATCATGTCTAAGCTTCCAACTTCTCTCCAGATGCCCTGTGGGATGGCGGGTGGGTGGGAGTATCCAGGTTACTGGGGCGTATCTGTGTTCAGCACTCTGCTGGCATGCTCTCGAGGACATCTCACATTTTCCACAATCCAGGAGTTTATGTAAGATGCTTTGAACAGGGGAGAGGAAAGACCTCAACTAAAGCATCCTAATCTGTGCACACACACATTTTTGAAGGTATAGACCTGAAGAGAAATGGATACAGGTGGAGCGATGGGAATTTGCGCAGCTTATGTTAAGCTTGAAAAGATTAGCCAGCTGAACCTGGAGCTATGTGCAGGGGTGCTAGGGAGGGAGCAGCGAGGAGCGAACCTCACCGGGGTCCATCCCAGGGGCGAAGGGAGGTGAAGAAGGGTGCAGACGCTGTGACCAGTCAGCGAGATTAAACTGAAATGAACAAAAGTGTGAATGCAGAGGGGAAACACGCTGACTTTTGATGCCGAAAGGTGCTGGAGGGTGAGGATTAGATGAGCAGCGAGGAAGGCAGTGGCTCATTCACGATGGTTTGATGCATTTAAAACACAGGAAACGTATTGTATGCAGGAGCTGCTAGAAAGGAGCCTTCATACAGGCAACAAAAACAAGAACTCAGTTTGCCTAACTGACTTGTATGCATTTACAGAAGAAGCAGACCGATTAACACATCTGTGATAAAACAACTCAAAACAGAAAGACAGCATTCATAATGGCTGTGAGTGAATTTGCTACATGTTCCCAGTTTCATACCGACACCCCTGAAACAAGGAGCTTCGATGTGCAGATCTACAAGTTTCTATCTTGAGCCCAGTGACTGCTGTTCCTCATGCTGCTGCCGTCTGAGCTCACACGGTGCAGCCAGAGGGGCACATTTATGTCTGGCCTCATGCTACCCCTTACAGGAGACGGCTGCTCCAGTCCACCAGGGACACCGGTGTGCAGGCACAGCCAAGCACAGACGTTATCACTGATGTCACAGCATGCTGGCATCAGGCTGGATTTCACAGCTGAATGGCGTTTCACACCTGTTTTCTGGATGCTAATTAACCAGAACTCATAACAAAGCTAGGTGACCTAAATCTGTTTTTTTTTTATTCTTTCATCATGTTTTTCTCTCCACTGGTATTGTTTTTGTGAGCAGCATGAGATAGGCCAGCCAGTGGCCATTTATCTTAATGAGAGCGGTTAACTCAGGGCTAAACGGTGGCTGCTGGCTGCATGAAACACTATCACAACAACCCCCTTCAAAGTCCTGCTTTCCTGCTGACTTGATTTTGGGGAATACTTTTTGCCCTCTCGTTGAAACCTTAATTACAAGTAAAGGAGATTAAATTGTATGTAATTATCATGATAATATTTTCATTTATTCAAGATAACGGGTTTACTTTAGTGAACACAGTATTTGTCGGGAGAGAGCAATCTCCCTCTCACAGTCAAAGTTATCAATGCGTGAAATCGGAATCCTGACGGCAACAAAATGTAATCTTTTTCATGCAGACGGGACAATAGAAGGCGCCGCATACTCCACTTCTCCTTCTCCACTTTAATTAAAGCGCTCGCTGCATCTCTCCATCTCTCACCTTGTACTTTTTCTCATAAGTGTAGAGGGCCAATTCTGTCTCTGCATCGATCGCAGTTCTTGCCTTCACACTGAACTTGTCTCAGGCCCCAGCCCTGAAACACTGAAGCAATGTCTGTTCACTTGTAATTTGGAGGTTACAAAAATGAGGGGAAATGTTAAGGATTTTGTTTTGACGACAGGAAGTCAGAATATTGGAGCGAGGAGGAACTTTTGTCAAAAAAGTCTCCTTTAAAGGGACTTGTCAGAGTTTTGAATTTTTTATATTCGCGATTGCCCCCGCAGGCCAAAAGCGTAATGGCAGCTACAATAGGAGGCTCGTGCACGAGGCGCGCATGCTGTACGTGCACACTCCTTAACGAAAATAACAGTTGAGACAGTCCCGTGTGTGTGTGTGTGTGTGTGTGTGTTTGTGTGTGTTTGTGTGTGTGTGTGTGGCCCGGAGGACAGAGGACAGGAGAACGTGCGGCTAATTAATTAAATAATTTGGTTCTGTACCTTTCTCTTCAGCACAGCCGACAAAGGTTTATGATGGGTCAGTCCTCCTGCATGCTCAGATCATTCCCTTCCCTTGCTTGAAAAATTGTTCCAAAATCAAAGTTGAACCCACATCTTTTTTATCTGTGAATTCAATGCCCTTCAGTGAGTCTCAAATAAAAATTTGGGCGTCTTATTATTGTAAAAAAAATACCATTAATGTAAAAAAGAAACTCCAAATAAACTATGTTCACACCCAGAATTGAACCCAGGTCTTCTGCATGAGAGTCAAACATCTTACAAGGTGAGCTACGCACCAGTAAAATTTGACATATCTGTAACATTTATATCCTTGATGACAGCTGAAACAACGTCAATTCAAAGAACGGTTCGGAGAGAAAATGGCTATTTTGTTGCTAATTTGCAGGAAATATCTAGAAGAAGGTTCTACAGAAAGTAGCTAAGGGTCCTCAGAAATGTAGCTAGCTTTGTCACTAGGCGTTAGGAACAGCGACAAAGACTAAATCTACGGATAGCAAATGCTACGGGCGATGCCTGAGCGTGAACGCGCATGAAGCAGCCTGCTCGACCCGAGCATCTCTCTTTTTCTGTGATTTTACAGAAAAACAGGCAATCACAGTAAAAATGCCAGGGCTCATTCTACAGGACCAGGGCATTGCAGGAGAATGTCTGAAGAAGACATTTATTATTTCTATACATGTTTTGGCTGTCAAACTTTCTTATAGTCCCTTTAATTGATTATCCTTGACGTCGATGCTTACTTAGCTTCCCTACGGTCTGTTTAAACCATCTTCAATGAGCACAATGTTAAACATGACATGTAATTAAGAGAAAGACTGAATCGGTCCGCCGCTCTCTTGTGAATAATCACACCTTTTAAAAGCCTACTCTCAACTCACTTGCTGCTTCCCGCTTTTGCAAAAGAGCAAAATTGTGAAGGATGATTAAAAGAATGTTGAGATAAAGTTCACAAATGACTTAATGGATGAGAGAAGTGAGCATGTGGAAACGGGGCTGAGGTAACGATGTGTGCGTTGTGGTTCCTCACCACCAGTCCAGAATGTTGTAGCTGAGTATTTGAAATGCCTCGTCGTCTGCATACTCGGTTTGTTTTGCATATATGTTATCACGTCTTACAATAATCAGGCTACATAAATGTTTTAGGGTGTTTTGCTGCCACTGCGACATTTACAGCCTTGGTTTCTGCACCAGATGTTCAGTCACTCCCACATTTCACCCCCCCGTTCCTCTCTCCTCCCCCCTTGCGTCACCTTTAGCCTGAGGGCAGGTAGGGCATCTCATTGTGATAATTGTAGTCCGGGCAAACTTTCTGCACCAGGCGGTAGTCTGTACTGTAGAAGGAAATGTAGATACAGATCACTTTAAATGGCTTGGAGCAAATCCAGGAGACGTGGCTCTGGATCTGCTCCACAAAGCAGGTCTGGGATGGATCATAGGCACACAACGCGGTGCGCTTGCTTCGATCCACCTTCTCGTAGTCCACGCGGCAGTTGAAGATCTTGGAGTCTTTAGGGTATACCACGCTCTGGCGCTCCAGGTCAAACTCCACCGCTTTGACAGGCGGCACCAGGCTGACTGAGATGTTGCCCTGGCCCGTTGAGTTGTGTCGGAAGTAGACGCTGAACGTGCCGTTCCCATGATCCACAATCTTGCCTGTGATCAGCAGGTTTAGCCTCACAGTTTTGATATTGGAATAGAAGTCTCCCCAGCCAAACATCTTCTTGAACTTGCCGGTCTTAACGATCGGCCGGCGTTTGACCCTGGAGCTAGATGTGTCAGGTTTGAGCAGGTCACTGCCTAACATCTCCCAGAACTCCTGTTTGGAAAACTCCTGCTTGGCAAAAGGGACTGGGGAGCGATAGGGCAACTCCAGAGAGGTGGCGTTAGCTGCTCTGCTTTTACTGTGCTGCATCCATCGGCTCAGGGGTGAGAGGGAAGCCTGCCCGCTCAGAAGGCCCACCGTCTTGGAGGAGGCATCTGAAGAGCTCTTGGGGCTGGAGGAGTCCTCTTCTTGACCCATCACCACCTGCAGCAGGAGGCGTAGGAGGAAATCAGGAGGAAAAAAAGAGAAATAAAGCGTTATTGGCAAGTTTGAAAGAAACACACAGAAAAAGAAAAACAAATTAAAGATTTAATCAATAGCTAATTTACTGTTCACACCTCCAGTGATGTTAATAGTGACGTTATATCAATTATACACACATAGGAATGTTTGAAATCTTACGGGTGTTGCTGTTATTGCATTCTTCTGTTTTCCTCTGCGGCAGGAGAGAATAGAGCCGATGTGATCCCCTGAGCTGCGGGTAGGGCCAGCGGGATCAAAGAACACCTCTCAAAGAAAATCTACACTAAAAGTGAATTCACATGGAGTGTATTACTCTTGTGGTCCTACTCAGTCTGATCAATATTTGTAAGAGTGGACAATTTTCTTCAACGGCTGTAAAACAATACAGCTCCATCATTACAAAAAGCTCTTTTTAAGTAGTTTCCCTGACGGCCGAGGTGAGAGGCTGATTCAGCGCCAGCGTTACCGACTCTTACTCACAATCTCATTTTCACAACAGTGGTGGATTATCCAACCAAAAACATATCTCACTTATATGTACGTGACTGAAACATGCCCCGGATGTGTCGTCTATTCTGCTGCATTTGTGGGGGAAAAACCAACGCCGCCTCGGAAACCTTCGCCAGAGGTTCGATGCTACTGAAGAAAGGAAGGCGGGTCGGCAGGAGGGCCAAGAATAAAGTGTAATGTCCAATTAGGACTTTCAGTGTTCTAATTAAAGAAATAAACTGTATCTGCATGCACACTAATCTGACAGATGATAGCATAGGGGGGGGGGGGGGGGGGGGATGACAGAGGGAGGTAAGGTGGTGCTGCTGTACTCAACAATGGCAGAAAAGTGTGTAAATGTGCAAGCTAAGTAAGAGATAATTATGCAGAGATAACGATCTATTAGCAGGTAGCTTTCATTCAATGTCCCACAAAAATATCCTGCGCCGGTGCATCCTGTGACTCAAAAACACACAAACACACAGCTTGTGAATTAGAAGCAATGCAAATGTGAACCCTGTGTGTGTGTGTGTGTGCTCAACCTGAGTGGATTTTACGGGAGATGCATAATGTATGCGTGGCTGTCTGTGCTCTGATCCTGCTACTACCTTGACTGCCAGGGCTTCCTTATGCAGGCTTAGTCAGGATTATTATGTCCGACTCATTTTTATTCCACTTTATGCAGGTTTTTCAAGCTCGCTCACATTTGTTAACTTGCGCAGCAGTCTGTCAGTCGTATTGATTTCCCGTCTCTAAAACCGCGTATTTCCTTTCATAACGACGTGTATCGCATTTCAAGTGCCACGAAAAGGATTCCCACTGATGCGGTTGTGGTCTGATGTTTGGACTCAGTTGAGAGGACTCCCCTCTTCCCTTAATCGGGGGGGGGGGGGGGGGGGGGGGTGTTTACAAGCCAGATGCCCTCAACTCTAGTTACCTGTCTGCCGCTGCGCCACGCACAGAGTCTTCAGCCTCCCTTCAGGATCGCACAAGAACTCCTTTTATCATCCGGTCAGGCAGTTATTGTGGCGTGTTTGGGAAAAGCAAATAATGAGCAAAATCCGAGCAGAATTAAATACTTTTGAAACAGTTTAGTTTTTAAGAAGGGGAAGCAGGCAGCCTTTTGTGAGAAAACTTGATTTCTTTAAAATCTTCCCTTTTTTAAGATGCTTTAGCCATAGCTCTGCCTCTGAACACAAACATATGGCAGCACTCTTAGTTACGGCTCACACACCAGGCAGCGTTCCCCCTCTCTCTCCCTGCGTCTGAGCCCAAGAGGCTGAGGAGCAGAATGAGGAGAGATGAAGTGACTGTTGTGCTATTGTTGAACAGAAGATTTAAGTGTCTGGCACCACTGGAGGTGTTAGATTCAGCACACAGCGTCGTTGTAAAAGACAAATGTTAGAAGGAGCTTAATGTGGCTGTGAGAAAAGCTGCGGCAGCAATGCTCCTGATAGTCACAAAGCACAGGCGAATACGCTTTACCCTGTTATTGCCATGCATGTGAACGTGTGTTGGTGAGTCATGCGTGATGTGTGACTCCTGCACATAAAGGATTTTCCTCAGTGAATAACTTAACAAGCTCTTTCCATTGTGGAAAAGTGCATACTGCTACGACTCTGTTGGCTCTCTGCGTTTAACCGGTGAAGTATATGAGGTGTAGTATCTAACTATCAGCACTCTCCCAACTCGGGTTTCTGCTGTGCAAGCAAGCTGAGGTGATAAAGAATACCCTCTGAGTAGGGCTGTAGCGAAGCCTCGACGAAGTCGACGGCTCGATTCTAAAAATTTGTCGACGTCAGATCCGGAAGTCGACGCACCGCGCCCACTTGTTGCATCCCCAGGAGTTTGTAAATAGAGGAGGAATCTGCCTGTTTTTCCTCTAGTTCGCCCTCTTCTCCGCCTTCACTAACATCTCCGCCAAATACCGAAGACCCGGAACAATGTTCGTCCACTACTAGATTATTTTCCTGTTTTGCCCCTTCGTCTCCCGGCAACGGACAACAACTTCCGGGGTCAGATGCGCTGCTTCGTGTCTATCGCAGATGTAGAAAATCACCGGGAGCGTTTCTCCCTTCATAAAGGAGCTTCTTTCAGACATGAGGAGAGCTGTTTTGGTGGTAGCAGTCTCTCCTCCGTGCTGGTCTGTTTGCTGCTGGGTGTTTTTGGTTTATTTAAACTTGGTAACTTGAACTTAATGTTGGTAAAGCTACTGTTAGCATCTTCGCTAACAGCTTCTTGCGTTGGGATAAGCTGTTACGTTTTGGTTTAGAGTTAATCTTTTTTGTGGTGTAGATCTCCCTTTCATTACATTTAGAGTGTTGTGGGTTTTCGGTTTAGTGTAAAATATCACCTGAGTTTGGTTTAACCCGTAACACCACTCGCCTCACGCACATAAGTGACCAAAACAAAGCAGCATGGAGACACTCCATCTTCTACCACCTCTCAGGCAGCAGCCTGCACTCCCAAGTTCTACACGTCACCAGAACATAACCAACCGCAACACAATAAAAGCAGTGTTATACAAAATGGAAGGCCTGTAGTGTTTATTCTCTTACAGTAAGAATTTATCAATTTATTTGAGATTTTCTGGTTTTTGTTAATTGTGCAATAGAAAAATAATCATTAGAATAATTTTCTAAATAGTCATTAGAATAGTCGACTATTCGATAAAATAATCGTCAGAATAATCGTTTTAAAAATAATCGTTTACCCCCAGCCCTACCTCTGAGTTTATTTATAATAAGTCGCTTCAATTTTCTGGAATATCTTAATATTTTAGGAAGCGCGCCTCGACGTCGTCGAGAATTAATGCCATCTGCTTTTTGTTGTTTCTGTCACTCACTTGCCCTCAGATCTGAGACTGAATCCTAAAAGTCATCCTTTAATGACAAATGAGACCAGCCATATGGTGTAATGTCACTTTGAAAGGCCAGAACAAGTTTTTTTTTTCTTCTTTTTCCAGAGTGAGTTTGTTTTGTGTCACGATGCTTCCTGACTCCAAGCACGAAGGCAAAGTGTGGGCGATGGGCAGTCAGGTTTGAGCGAGGGGGTGGAGGTTCGGGGTGACTTTGTCATTTGTCATGTGTGCTACGTGAGTCAGTGAAACGGCTGGAGAGGATGGGAGGAGGCTGCCGGCTCCAGAGCTGTGGTAATTGTGAGTCATTCAGGCTCAGTGAGCACAGGCCTCAGGCCTCTCTCCCAGCAGGAAGTACAGGGAGGGGAGTGATCCTTGTGAGCGTGTCTGCTCCACAGGCAACAATCTGCCTGTTGCAGTGACAGGTTTGCTGTTTTAACACCTCTTCCCTTGGTGACATGTGCAAAAAGTTGCCATGATACGGTGCAGAGATCAGGAGGTGAAATCTGAGAAGCAACAGAGCAGAGTCATTGGACACGACAAAAACATTAAACATTAAAAGGAATGAGGTTCAATTTTGCACGTGTCTTCAAGTGCTGTGAATGGATCGTCACTGGTGTGGTGGTGGTCTGTTACGACACATGGTCCTTGGTCTTAGCTGAACTGAGTTTAGCTGAAGTGGCTCAGGCGTATATCTAGGGCGCCTCCTCGCTTTCCTCTGCAGGTTTTGCAGGCGTGTCCCACTGGGAGGACATCCCTAACCAGACCCAGAACTCACTAGAGATATTCTTTATCTTCTCAGGCATGAGAACGTCCCCCGGGATGAGCTGTAGTAATCTAACCTTGGATATGGAGTGGAAAATGAATGGCTGGTGTAACGTGAGGAAGTGTGGGTTTTCTGTCACAAAGGTGGTGTTGGACTCAGCTGGGTCAAAGCTGGGTCGTTGAGAACTTTCACCCACAGATTAAGACCTGAACGCCAGCGAGTCTGGGAGGAAACCATAACATCTGCCACCTGCAGCTTCGTGCCAGAAGATGTTGTTCCCACAGAAGATGTTGTTCCCATAAAAGTAGTCATAACATAACAAGTCTTAAAACTTTGTTTCTTGATTTTAATGTTAAAGTAACCATTATCATTTTGCTCATTATAAATGTGTTTAATCAAATGAATGATTCTTATGCTTTGGGTAATTATAATGGATTAATGAATCCACACTTAAGTAGATAATGTTTGAGGATGTTTGTTACCGACCTTCACACCCACACACAGATTCTCACAGTAAACTCCAAAACACATTTGCTGACGCACACGTTTGCTTTGAGAAGAGAAAGGCTTTTGGTAAGTTTCAGTCTTATGATTCCAGTTCGTGCTTGACAACGAAAGAGAGAGGACCTGAAGAAACCGAAGGGGGGAGCCGGTTGGCTCGTTTCTTCCCCCCCTCTCTCACGCTGTTCCTGCCAAGCCAGACAGGACAGCTGAATCGCAACTTCTAACGCAGACTCATACAGAATCTTTGATTTCTGAGTGAACTAAACTTAACAAACGCATCGACAAAACGCTTTTCCATCTACGTGTACCGAGGGCAACTCTGGACCGGTTCCGTTCGACACCTAC